TTGGCGTCACGTATCCACCTTGATGGTGAGGCAGTCTGAGTACGCTAGCAATACACCAAACGACCTGTTGGGGTCTTGTGTGTTGTTAGGTATGAAGCAAATTGTTGATAATCATGGGTATAGGTCAGGCCGGACTGGGTCCCTTGCAAGAGGATGTGCGCCTGAGCTCGGGCAGGATTGATCACCCTCCACTGCAAGAAGGTAAATATATGAACATAGGACGAGTCGGATTGGGTCCGTACGTGCCTTTCTGAGATTAGGGCGATAAGACTCATAGGGTACGACTTAAATTCTATGCTGAAATACTCTATCGTTTTATTTTAAAACGTTTGTCGTTCGGCGATTTCTGTTTAATCGCGTAATTCGAATCTAAGTCGTTCGTTTATTGGATTTTTTAATATTGGTATTATTATTATTATTATTATTATTATTATTATTATTATTATTATTATTATGATTATGATTATGATTATGATTATTATTATTATTATTATTATTATTATTATTATTATTATTATTGTTATTATTATTATTACTATTATTTAATTGTCCAATTGTCTTTAACTGCTTAATAATATTAAATAAATATTATTGTGTATTAAACATATATTTTGCGTTTTCGTTTATTTAAATTTTTCGGAGGTCGTGTATTATTATTCCCAGCGTCGTATATATATATATATATATATATATATTATCGGAATGTATAAATCGGGCCCAACAAACCTATAACCGAGCCCTTTTGGCCGCGCCCATGACCCACGAACCTAAGACCCGCGACCCATTTTTCTTAGGCTTGGAGAACAAGACTTCTACCTAAGTCTTATAAACCATGTGATTTTCTCTCTTTTTCTCATAACCTCATGCCACTCTCTCTCTCTCTCTCGCAAGATCAGCTGAGAAAACTTGACTCTCTCGCTCAATCTATCTCTCTCGGTCATCTTCTTCGCTGCTCATATAAAAAAAAGGAGAGACAAGGAGGAATTGATCGCTCGTCATCCTCTCCATATCTTTTCCGAGTTCACGCGAGAAGAAAGTGAAGCAGCCCAGCTGCCGCCTATGACCAATCCAGTCAGCCCCTCTCTCGTTTCGTTTTCGAGCGTCTTACCCGAGAACGGTATCGATGGCTCAAGTCCCTATTATTTTTATGCATATATTATGTGTTGCTTTTGATTTTATGTGACGTGTTGAATTGATTAGGTCGTATTATGTGGAGTGTTGGTGGATTAATGTGATATATAGTGTTCTTGTGATGTTTTGAGTTGCTTATGATATATAGAGGTTTATTGTTGAAGTTACATTGAGAGTTCATGAATTATCACGAAATCACAGCCTCTGTTGAGCCTCTGAAAAAGGTATGAAATACTCGTTTTCTGAAATTATGTACTTAATATGGTTTCTAGTTCATTCTGTTGTGGTTCTGTGAGTTCTGGAATTTTGAAAGTCCGATTTGAAACGAGTGAGTTATGATTTTTACAAAAATATTGCGCGAGCAGTTTTTATCAAAACCCGGCAGCAATTTCATGTTAAATATTTTACCTGTTTGTTGCGTCTTAATGTGCTCGGATGAGTTTGTGATCTTCATGCAAGTTATAGGTCCATTTATAAGCTTTCTGATAAGTTAAAATTCATACTGATATGATGACTTTAGCTCGGTTTGTGATAAATTGAAGAAGGAAATACATGAGGTGAGTTTAACTTTTGGCATAAAAGAGGTTCTCATTGTTAATTGATTTTGCTCCTTCTTAATGACCTTATATGCTTTAGTGTTCTAAATGAAAGTTGTAGAGATTTAACTTAGGTTTCTAATAAGGTAAGAATCATGTCAATATAATAAGTGTAGCATGAGATGTGATTTTTTTATAAAAATATTGTGCAAGCAGTTTTTTTGAAAATTGGGCTGTGTATATAATGTTGATGTTTGGCCTGCGATTGATATTCTAACATACTCAAATGTGAAAGTGATCCTCATAAAAATTGTTGCTCTGCTGTTTGGCTGTCGACAGGTTTTTGAATGAAGACATTTGGAGGTCTGTAGCATAATTTCGGAGATAACAACTGAGGTGCTGTTTGTAAACAAAAATTGTTTCTGACAGATTTCATGACCCGAATGTTTTGTGTTTACACCCAGATAAAGCATCATTATTTGAAAATGTGGTCTTCAGCAAAGTTGTAGATATATGAGTTAGCTAATTGTTGGTTTTTGAATCTTCTTGATAGTATGTCTGTAGCTTCATTTATATTGAAAATACTAAGGTCCTGTCAGTCATTTGTTTCCAGGTTTTTAACAGCAAGTCTGTTTCATATGTTTGATGATATATGACCTGGTAAATGTCATTATTTGTTTCTGATGTCTTCATAAGAATTGTAGAGGCATGTCTCAGGATTCACATGCAACTTTTGTGTTAATATGAATTATGTGCTGTATTTGGTGTCGATTTCAAAATCGCTGTGCGGGTTATGGTTTGGAAATTTATGTGGTGTTTCCGAAAATAAAGTTTATCTTTTTAATGCTTGCTTATATGAACTATATGAGTCGAGTCTAATCAAATGAATGTTGGTATGAGTGTATCAATGTGTGGAATAGTCATTTATAGGATTACTTTAATATTTGTAGGTGCTTGACGAGCCGAGCTTGCCGCCTACACGTGCATTTGTGTCAACTCTTACTTTCGACCAGGTGAGTTTTATTTAAAATTGCTACGCAATAAATTTTGTGCTTTATTTGTGGTATGATCGATGTGTACATGCGAATCATGTAGCCTTCGATGTGAGCTGTACCGGCCGTTGAACGGTTGTCCCCGTATTTATGAAATGAAAACCCTGAGGGGTTACGCCTACTGACTGGGCACCGATAGAAGCCCGAGGGACATTTGGTGTATAAGCCTGGGAGAAGGCTTAGACGTAGTGCCTGAGGGGATTTCGATGTAAGACCTTAGCGAAGGCCTTCGATACGTTTACCAGCAGTAGTCCATTGGTATAGATGTGCACATGAGTCTGAACAATGTGAATTTATGATGAAACTTGGGATACTTGATTGATTCTTATACATGCTGTGATCATACTGTTTCTTTTTACTGTTTATATTCTGAATATCATTTATTGCATAGTGGTGAGCACTACGGTTTCCATTTGTGCTCACCCCTACTTGAAATTACCATTTCAGGTTAAGAAGGTAGCGGGCACGGCGAAGGGGGCGAGTGGTGGTCGGTCTAGATGACTAGACCCTTACTTGTGTGGCTTCCGCTATATTTATGATTATGTTTGATCATTGATGAATTTTCGAACTCTGAGATTTTATGAGGTGTTGAGACACTATTGGGGAGATGCCCTGTTGATATTTTTATGTCTTTCAAACTTGTGTTTTTGGAAACCCATTTTGGGAGCTAAAGACTTGGTTAGAAGTTTGATGACTGATGATTGATGATTGATGATTGATGATATATGTTGATGTCATAAATTTGACTTTATGTTATGAAAAAGACTTTGAAATAAATGAATAACGCCACAAATGTTTAAAATGAATTTTGAAAAATTATATTGTTTTTTCTGAAAACCCATAGATTTTCGTTAAATCAAAGTGGGGCGTTACAGGTTCAATAACTTCGAAGCCCTAAATCCCAAATTTACCTAACTGTTAATTTCCATCTCGTCGGCGATGGATTAGGCTTCCAGCCACGACGCCAGGATCAATCCGGTGTTATTATAAAGTCACTGGAGGTCGCGGATGTTACCATGGCCGACAGATTGTAGAGAACGGCAAAGCTAAATGTTGAAGGGACGAGGGATGTTCATTGAGAATTTGACATGTACCAAGGGCTTATGTGAAAATTAAGAAAATATAACTATATTGCAATTTAGTGCTTAGGTTAAATTTGTTAGAGTAGGGTACCCGGCGTTCCAATCTAATTGGACGTATTCTACTTGTAAATACAGTCTATTGGAATTATATTATGAATAAGGCATTTCTTTATCTTAAGAGAAAGCATTTATCTTATAATTGCACTTAAGATAAAATCCCTAGATCACTTATGGTTATAAGGTATGGTTGCGCATAGAGATGGTGATCATGGAACATACCTTGAAAGCCGTGATCTTAAATACAGTTCCAAGTCGATGGATGTTTCGAGATGGGATATCGAATAATCCATAAAAGACTTG